CAACCTCATCTTCTATGAGGAAGACCTGGAAGACTTTGGCATTGACATTAAAGAAGCATCCATCTACTCTGGATTTTGCACCACAGTCCATTTGGAAGAACAACTCTTTTCCAACAAAAGGGTCTTTTGCTTTGTGCATCTGACCGTACAGGAGTTCTTTGCAGCTCTCTTTGTCTATGACTGTTTTATTAACAATAATACTACAGAACTTAAAAACTTCCTCATTTTGGAGGACAAAGACCATACGTTACTTGATCTTGTAAAGGTGACAGTTGAAAAAGTGCTGGAGAAGAAGAAAAATGGCCACCTGGACTTCTTCCTGAGATTCCTTCTTGGCCTCCTAGTTGAACCCAACCGGAGAGTCCTTCATGGTCTGCTGCCTTCACCAGATCAAAGCCAAGATACTGACAAGAAAATCTTGACTTACCTCAAGTCTATCAGAAGGAAGAACCTCTCTCCAGAAAGCTGCATCAACCTTTTCCAGACTATGATCGAGATGAGAGATCACAAAGTCAAAGATGAGATTCAGGAATATCTCGCACTGTCAGATCGCTCAAAAACAGAGTTGACTCCCCTGCACTGCTCTGCACTGGCCTACATGCTGCAGGTATCAAAGAATGATTTGGAAGTCTTGGACTTGAAGAGTTACAACACATCAGATGAGGGCAGACGGAGGCTGATACCGGCTGTGAGGAAGAGTAGAAAAGCTATGTAAGTTTGTAGCAATAATTTACTTTCATGTTGAATAACAACATGTTAAATATACTTTTCTGTCAATCAGATTGTGTAAGGTCAGGGTTTGCTGGAAAGGGACTGTTCTTGATCAAGCTGATCAAGTGTCATCCTTAAGCCTTTGTCATGGCATGGATTTAATTTATGACCACAGCAACCACTTCCCTGACGACTTTATGGTCTTAATTGTTACTTTTTTTTATCCCAAGTTGAATAGAACAAGATAGGATTATTTGATAAAATAATAAAACATTCTGCTCAAAGAGGGACAAGATCATCTAGCTAAATCAGCTGACATTATCTACTCAATACTTTACAACAAAAAGATGAGAATGGCCAAAATGTAAAAATAACGGTTTCAAAACTTCTGTCTCATAACACTTTTTAAAACCTTTAATTTTTTTCTTTATTTGTCTACAGAATGAAACAGCTTTGTTCTCTTTATACTAACACTTAAACACCCACCCACAGGTTAGCAGATTGCAAAGTGACCTCGGTGTCAGCTGAGCATTTGGCTTTTGCTCTCAAGTTCTACTGCTCATCCCTGAGAGATCTAGACCTCAGTGACAATGACCTGAAAGATTCAGGGTTGAAGTTACTCTGTGATGGACTATCAAGTCAGTGCTGCAGGCTGGAGATACTCAGGTAGTAACACATAAAGTACACCAAAAGACACTAGTAATGGACCTCCTTTAGCCAGATTTAAGCTGAAAAGAAAACTGCTAGAAATGTGACTCTGTATAATAAAAAGGATAGTTCTTGCTCTGATTTCAGTGAGGTCTTTGTCAAGAATAAGATAGTATACTTAGATTGACAAAGAATTGTCTTGAACACTGTACACTTCTGACACTCAGGAGTCACCATCTTGGTTTGATACCTGAGTGGCAACCCACCAGTGGAAAAAGAAAGGAACATCTGAACTAGCCCATTAACATTGGCATATTAGTTTTTCACACAGTGATGTTACATGGGTTGGTTGACGGGGGTTGTTTGGTATTATTATGTGTGGTCAGAAGGTCAATAATAAGTTAACAATCATAGTCAGCTGTTGCAATCATCAGTTTAGGCACATAACTTGCTTTGTTTGGTAAGCAAGAACAAAATGTACTACTGGAATTATTTCAACTGAAAAAGTGTCTGTTTTATCAGGTTATCCGGTTGTCTGGTCACAGCGACAGGCTGTGCATATCTGGCTTCAGCTCTACAGCTCAACCCGTTTCATCTGATAGAGTTGGATCTGAGCTACAACCACCCAGGAGACTCTGGAGAGAAGCAGCTGTCTAAGCTGAAGAATGATCCTCGATACAAGCTGAGCAAACTCAGGTAATGGAATTTTTTTAAAGTAATTTTTTAAAACTTCATTAAGAAACATAATTAAATCTGAGATACTTTTCTCCACAGTGTTGAACACGGTGGAAGTCACAGAATGAAACCAAGCTTCAAGAAATGTAAGCACTTCAGTTATTTTTGGTGGCAATAAGTAACAAATCAATGAAATTATGATCTAGTAACAGATCATTGTTCAAAGTGGCATGGCTTCTTTTTGTTGTTGCAATGAAGTGTTTTCTTATTGCCAGATGCCTGTGAACTCACTCTGGACTCCAACACAGCACACACAAACCTGCTTTTCTCTGATGGGAATAGAAAGGTGACCTGGATGGAAGTTGACCATCCACATCCTGATCCCAAAAAACAGCAGGTGCTGTGTGAGCAGAGCCTCAATGGGCGCTGCTACTGGGAGGTGGAAGTGTTTGGCTTTCTATGCGTTGGGATTACAATCAGAAGAAGAGACACAGAAGGAAAGAAAAATGAGTTTAAGATGGGATACGATGACAAATCCTGGTGTCTGGTTTTCTCTGATGATGGTTTTTACATTCTGCACCGTAACAAGAAAGTAGACGTGCCTTCAGCTGGATGGCGCTCCAGTCGGGTGGGTTTGTATGTGGATTGTTCAGCTGGCACGCTGTCCTTCTACAGGGTTTCTAATGACAGCTGCATCCTCCTTCATAGCTACAAAACAGCCTTTAACGAACCCCTTTATCCTGCTGTTGAGCTTCACTCTCAGTCGTCTGCTTCATTTTGTCAGCTAACCTAAGTTTCACCTGCATCTGCAAGTTCTGTCCATCAGTTCCACACATTAAACTGCTTTTACGAGTATCCCATTGTTTTTCCATGTTGTCCTAATGAAGTTCTAGGTCATGTTTCACCTATTGTAGCTACATGGTATTCTTTATTTACTCTCTTTTTCGAATATTTTTTTAATGATCTGAAACAGTTAAGTGTGACAAATATCCCCCACAAAAAAACAAAAACCCAAAAACTAAGAAATCAGAAAGGGGGAAATACGTTTTTCTGTGCATTGTAACTGCAATCTGCACTCTTGCTGATGAATATGTTTGGTAGATTTACATAATATTTTCAACTACTAAGTCATTCTTCAAACAAAAACTGTTCCAACGTCTCCAATGTGACAATTGGTTACACTTTCCCTGTTTTGTATTTCTCTAAATTTAAAAATTAATATTTTATGTTGCTTGTCAGAAACAATGTCAGCATTTTAAGTGGGCAGTTCTGTTTCATGTATTTTTTGTAGAACTTATTTGTATTTACTTCAAACTCAAAATCAGGTCTAAACCTCTGAACTCCTAATCTGTAACTTTGAATTAGCAATTTACTCACTTTGATAATTGAACATAGTGCCAAGAAAAATACATTCAATGTAAATGAGCATGATTTCACAATTACAAAGTAGGAGATTACATTTTAAAAAACTGACTAACAGTGCATAAATTTATGAGTACAACCATCTACAGCTGATTTAAGTAAAGAGCAAGAAGATCTACAGAGGAGAACACAACCAGTAGACCCAGAACATGCACACTTTAAACAGAACGTTTCTAACCAGATGCTGGAGCCAAACTCAGGACTGCTGTGAGGCTTGCTACTACACCACCATGCTGCCCACATTCGACATGCAGAATGTAGATGTTGGTGGCTGTATTAATGTTCTTTTGTCTTCTTTTATTTAGAATTTACCTTTCTCTGTTTTAAATCAAAATGTGTGTGGCAACTCTGAGCATCTTTTACAGCCTTTTCACTACAAATCAGGTGTGTGTGTGTGTGTGAGAGAGGCTGTTTCAAAGGCGTTTAGTTTCTGTCCTTTATTTTTACTTAGCTTGAAGCTTGTGTGGAACAAATACTGTGTAAGTTAACAGAAGTCTTAGTATCACAGGTCTGCAATTAACACAAGCGAGGAATTTAGTATTTTATTAAATGAATGTTAGGTCCTGGTTGGCATGTTATGGTCTGACAGTGAAAAATAACCAGAATTCAAATGTGAGGTGAGACTATTAGATGTGATTCAACATGTACAAACTGGTGTCCTGTTTTAGATCACAAATGGCTGCTTATTGAAAAATAAAATGTTTTTTTAAATTTGCAGTGTAAAGCAGAAGTTTCTAATAGTTTTGTCTTACTGATGCTCATTAAGGAATAACTTCAGACGCTGTTAAAAAAAACTAGTTTCTCCTATTACCGACACACAGAGGTCTGAGGGATCTTCCAGGAATTATGCCGCTAATTTCCAGAGGCCTGATTGGGCATTATCTCTTATGTTGAACATAACCTGGTCCACAGCCGGGCTGTTGTGGAGCACAGAACAGGTGCTACAAAGCACACCTGTCACAACAAAGCCCAGCTCACTTCATCAAACAAGCTTTTTCTTTTCACAGTTCAGCATGCATGCAGTCTACTTGCTTATACATGCCATCTATACAGGAAATGCACCATTTGAAAGAAACACAAACACCACCTGTCATTTTAATCTGAGAACATAAAAAACCTTCATTAATCCAACCATATTATTACTGGCTCATGTTTCCTATAGGTCACTAACCGTGTTAATGAGGGGTGACTTGGCCTGAGAGTAAAGGGTGGGGCAGTCTGCCTCACAGCTGCTCTCAGCAACACCAACACACCCAGAGAAAGGGGGGGGGGGGCTCTTTATCTGTTCAGCACAATAAAAGCCTTTTACATCAAAGGAAACAGAACAGAAGTTAGAGATCAGATCCCACGATATCATTCACCAAACTCCAACCAAACCTCCAGAGAAAAAACAGACAAAAACAATTTAGTCCTACATAAAGGCTAATGTGGGACCTACCTGACACTGGGACACTTCAATACAAGACAGGTAAACTGAGATCAGAGTAATGAGTCACATCACAAACTAATCAGCTGCTTTTACCATTTTTAATTCAGTTTTTATACAAATAAGCAAAACTGCAGTAGCTTCACAGCACAACAGGGGGCCCCAGCCCACTGTATGAATCACTGTCAGGTATATTTACTGGTTTGGGATTCAGTTGTTATTTAAAAGTTTTATTTAATGTTGTTTTTAACTCCCCTGTCATTGTGACAGTGCACATTGTCTCCCCACCTCTCCTAATAAACTTAGCATTATAAATACATATGTCCTCAATACATTTGTGGGTTGAGCAGCAGAGTATATGTGGCTTAGAGCCATGGAAAACTTGCCACATCTTCTCTGCCAGTACTAACTGTGTTTAGGAGCACGTTAAATTCTGAGTTTCCCTCATATCTTCAAACTTATAGTTTGCCTAAAGTGGACAATAGATTGGAAATTCATGTCCTATAAACACAACAGAAAACTACAGTCAAACTGAACTTTTCACACCAAACCAGAAAATGAAGTTGGGCAATTTAAAAATATTACATCAACACATATCTTTAAGTCATTAAAAAAAAAACTGACATAGTTTTACGGTCATCCAAAATCATTGTTTCTTATTGGTCCACATAAACAAAGTACAAATAACTTAACTTGGGGCAGTACTGTATGATGTCTTGGCTAATTTATGAATCTAGCTGATGTTCTCAGCTTGAAGTAAAAAGGACATTTCCAGGAGCGTGTCTTAGTTTGAAACAATTAAACGGGACCCTATAACACCTGAGCCGAGGGCAACACAGGTACTTTTAGGGCTCGTTTATAAGTTTTTATTTTTGTTAAGGTCCTGCAAAGTACTGGATTTAGATATCTCTCAGAACTATGAAACCAGCTCAACCTTTCAGGAACAGGTCTTCTGATCCCACACTGATCAACATGTTTTTGCCTTTTTATGCTACAAGTTGCTGGAATAACCTACTGACTCATGTTAGGCGTTTTCCAATATTAGCAGCATTTCATTTTAAAAGCACAGTTTAACCTTTTCAGTTGTTGTTCCTGGTCTTAATTTGCATTTCATGTCATTTCTATTTATTTCATTTATTGTTGTTGGAGAGTTTTATTAATTTTACTGGTGTTAACTAATGTTGATCCTTAGTTAATATTTCATTTTATTTCTACTTCTTTGACTGGATTAAATTTTGCTCCATCATTCTAACGGGTCTGTTGTTTACTCAAAACCTCAGTTTGTTAAATTTCAGTTTTTGGGTTCATGTGTGGGTCTTTATTCTTATTTAATGCTGCCTTCATGTTTTTGTTGATGCCATCTGTTCTTAATTATTCCTCCTAATGCGTGCCTGGTGAGTTCGTTTCAGGCTTTCTTAATGGTTTTATAGCTCCAGCCTGCTTCACTGACTCCCACAGCTGTGTCCACCACAGCTTCATCAAATATTAAGATTGAGCAGAATTATTTATTACTTCTACCATTATAATCATTCACTATTACTTATTTAGAAGCCGTGGTTCTTACAATAATCACTTTGCAATTAAGTGTTGCAGACCTTTTTGTGAGTTATATATTTAGTTATTATTGAGACTCATGTTGCAAACATGAGTTATAAAACTCCATTAAAAGGACAGTAAGCTGTACTGTGTATGGAGTAGTACAGGAAGTGAAAGAAAAACACAAATACAGAAAGAAGAACATCTATAGTTTCCCTCTTGGTCTACATTATCATCTACATCTGTATTTAAACGTAACTAAATCTGTTTAAATGAAAAACCTAAGTTCCCTCTGCTATTAAAAAATCTGATCTCTGTGTAACTAACTATGGAACATCATTAATGTTGTGATACAAAAAACGTTTTTCTCAGCTGCTTCAGTCCTTTTCAGGGCCTCTTAAGGAAATTAAGGCAGAGTAGTAAGTAGAAATGGTTGTGTATGTTTTTATGAGCAAGCTAGACAGATAATGTTTCTATTGTCTGCATGCTATCAAATATATTAGCATTGATTTGTAGCTGTGAGCCTGTTATGCTGCACGGATCTGTGGCTGAAGTGACACGATGTCCAGTGATGCCCTGCACATACAATATAGTCCCATTTTTTGTTTGCTCGGTGCAGCACTGTGCACACTTTAAAGTAAATATTGTTTTCCCTCACAATATATGCAAATGTAAGAAGTCTTTGTCTTTACAAATGGGAAACATGTGCTTTAAAAATCAGTGTCTTGGGATTATTCTGTTACATAATCCAGTAGAGCAGGCTTTCAGCCTCAGGGAAAAGTCGGACTTTAATAGACGTCATACGGGTCTCACAGCCTTTTGTAAGCAATCCTTTGCTAAGTGGCTGGTACTTTCTGTTAAAATGCTACCACCTTGTGGTGAAAGTTTTCATTCTCTTTTACAGACGTTTTTAAAAAAAAAAACATCTTAGATTTGTCTAAGAATAGTAACGTTTTTCATATCTACTACATTTCGAAATAAATAAAGAAATCATGCTTCTTTGCCAACACTGCTTTTTGCCAGTACCCTCGATCTTTAGATTGACTTCAGTGAAATTCAAATTGGGATTTTTAGTGGCTATTTTTAAGCTTTTAAGCTGCTACATGTTTTATTCACTATGAAAATAAAGAACTTTCGAGTCATTTGCACAGACATGTACTCGTGGTGCCCTTTCTAGTTTGCAGCTATTCTGTGTTAAACGTGTAAAATATAATTTAAAAAATATATATAAAAATTAGACACAATTTACATCATTTTAGAATTTCCTAAAGACAATTAAATGAATGGTTTTCTTAGTTCATGCACCAAATAATTATAAATCGTACACTAAATGATCCAGTATCCATGTAGATTTTTTTTAATCCTTGAATCTATCCATGTAAAATTTTTGTAAAAAATAAATAAATAAATAAATAAAATGTAAACCTTGAATCTTGTATATAAAGAGCAATATTTTTAATGACAACTCGCGCAATTACCAGTGCCATGCGGTGGCCCGAACTGGACCCTATGGGGGCCCACCGAATGGCACTGGGCCGTATGTTTGACACCCCTTGTCATAAAACCATAACGACAGAAAAGTAAGTTTAATTTGAGGGAGAGTCGGACAAAAGGCAGGGAGGAGAGACACGGCAGAGCGAGATGGACAAAGACAGACAGAGAGGAGGAGGAGGAGGAGGGACGCTGTCATCACGTACAGCCGCGGAGAGAAGGGAAGGGCGGGGGTGAGCCTCAGCCGGTGTCTGTCTGCAGCAGCGGCCATGCTGCCTGACTCGGTGCATCCCGGTCCACCGGTGTAGCCTTCCTCCTGCATCCCTGTATCCCAGGTCAGCGGACGGACCCGGAACAGCTCGGTTAGAGTGGTTCAGCCCGCCGGGAGCCCCCGGAGCAGACCGTAACCAGAGCACCGAGGAGGGGAAAGAGGAGAAACGCTCCATAGCAACAAACCGGTTCCACGGCATTATTGGTAGGTGCCTCCCTTTCAGTGTGCGTGTGTGTGTTTGAATGACGCTGTCAGCCAGCTTAGCAGTGTTAGGGCGGATAGATGGATAAAGTCAATTCTGTTATCAGATAGAGAGAGAGAGAGCACGGGTTTTATAAGCATTTCATCTGCAGGGTTTTATTTCTCATTGGGCTTAAGCTAAATCTAATAACACTGGAAATCGATGCAATTCTCCCACAGTGGCTGTGCAGCCAAATTTATGTCACACATTTGAACACATTGACTGTATGATGCCTATCAGTCCTGATGTGCATGTGCAATTTATCGTGGGGGGCGGGGTCTTAATGATCTTCAATAGAAGCTCGGGCCAGCTCCTTAAAGGTACTTTTTGTAAACGCACTGCAAAATGCAATAAAGACCATCACCACAAGGTGGCAGCATTTTTGCCAGAAAGTTTATGGGCAGTTGGAAATTCCACGGGTGCGTGCCTCTGACAGACCCTGCAAACATAGTGGACACAGTGCTAGAATTACCCCAGTCAACAGTGTTTGTGGCACAATGGCAAAAACTGCACTGTAGACCGACAGATGCTGATGTTTTCAGGTACTGTTGTGGACCAGTGACTCTTTCAGGACAAGGAATATTTATTTTATTATTGCATGAAGAAAACAAACACATGTATTCATTTTAAATATGGTTTTGGATTGATAGCTAATTTAAATGGTTGTGATCGAATGAAGCCCAGCAGGCTGTGAGTCTCAGATGTTGCCACAATATTCCATCCAAGACTTGATATCGAGGGAAAAAAAGGTTTAGTCAA